TTTTTTTTTTTTTTTTTTTTTTTTTTTTTTTTTTTTTTTTTTTTTTTTTTTTTTGTAAAATACCTCTAAATTTTGCTAATTATTTTTAACATATAGAAATATTTCAAATAAATGGAACCACAAATTTCAGAATCAAATTATTGAAAATTCATGAGACAAACACAGAAAAGAGTCTTTTAACTTTCCGATCCTTTCAGGACTGCAAGAACGGGCTCATCTCCACGGGAATGGACATAGTTTCACTTTCAGGAAGCTCGGCGGCGGCGGAAGCGGAAGCGGCGGTGGTGGTTTCATGGAAGATCAATCCGATTAGAAAATCGAAAATATCTGTAGCCAAAATGGCGGAAGCGACATCCTCTTTGTGAAGCATCCTCTTCTTGCTCTGCATCGCAATCATCCACGATCTCTTCGTCAATTCTTCGACGAACAGTTCACAAGCTTTCGAGAAGACGATCGGCGCCTCGGCGGAGATCATCTTCACATCCTCGCCGGATTTCTTCATGATCTTCTTGATTCTCGCTAACGGCAGCGAGTGCGGCCCTGTTTTCCAGTACGTCACGCCGGAATATGCTCCTGCTTGCCTCATCAGAATATTCCCCTCCGCCTCTGCTTTTGATCGGAAACGTTGATTCTTCAATTCAATTGAACTGAGAAATTGCTTTGAAAGGAGCTCTGGATTTATAGGCGTTGTGGAATTCTGCTGCAGCCGGTCTGCCGGCTCCGATTAAGGTTAGTCAGTCCAATGATTAACACATTTTTTAATGCTTAAACACGTATTAGCCGTCGTTACTTGTTATTGGTTTGAATTTAATTATTTTTTTGTTGCTGCTTAAGACAAATTATACCTTTTGGGTGATATCATACATCTTGATCATTACCTATAATTTTAATTTGATTAATTTAGTCTTAAATATATTATAAATTTTTGACAAATTAAAAAAATTTTAAACTCAAAGCCCTAAAACTAATGCAAATTAGTAGCCAGCCAGCCAACTTAGACTTTTAATCTTTGCAAGTTGCGAATGTGATGTCATCAACTATTTAAATATCGAAGCTATCAAACTCTCAAGCTTACTCGTACATGGAATGCGTTGGAGAAAATCTTTAGACTATTATGAAATTTTATACATGGAATGCGTTGGAGAAAATCTTTAGACTATTATGAAATTTTATGTTGATCGGGTTGGTGACTCAAATAAACTGAATAGGGTTTGTTGGAGGATAAAAGTCAATACTCTCTTCATTGGTATGAGGTTTTTTGGGGAAGGAGCCTCGATTAAGGTGAGGCGTACTTTGTTCGAGGGAAAGGTGTTGGATGATTAGCTAATTTAGGGAATGATCATGAGTTTTTAATTAAAGAATACTCTTTTCATTGGTTTTCAATCTTTTGAGGAATCCCAAAGCAAAACCATGAAAGTCGTGACAATATCATACCATTGTAGAGAATTGAGTTCATCTAACAGGATTCACAACTAAACTCAGCATAACTCTATTGAGTTAGGTAGTTTGAGTAGGATTGGGTTATGAATCCTATTTTCAGGTGGGTCGAGTCAAAAACGTTCCAACCCACGAACCGAAAAATAATCTAACCCAACTCAACCCTTACGGTTTAAGTTAAGTAGTTTGAGTTGTTTAGATTATCAGGTCATACGAACATCTTAGTCGAGCTTTTTCTGGGTACTGGGAGGAGTAAATTTTTGAGTGAAAACAAATACAATATACAATTAATTTATTCAATTTGGTGAACGGAGCTCCTCAACTATACATTATAATATATGAGTATTCAAGTACAAGTGTGTTGTTAGAGAAGAGTTAATTCCTCTTTGCATTCTTGAGGTTGCGCACCGTCATTACTAGCTGCTGCCTTTCACCTTCTACCTCTGCAAACTTAAGACTTATCTCTGAGTATCTCTCTTGCATATCCTTCAGTTCATTTTCCATTGATTGGTTCTTCTCTTTTAATGATGACAATTCTGTCAGCAGTTCATCAAGGTTGCCATTGCTATCACCAACCGTGGGAGAGGTTTTGAACGAGTTCGTGTTGCTGCAGCGAAAGAGAGGCGATTGGATTCTAACAAGTAGAAGCAGATAGGGAACATATGAAAGAACTTGAGCTTTGGATGTTTTAAATTAGTACCTATTGACTGATAATTCATTGCCATTATTGCTTGAGTTGTCTGCTCTCTGTCTCGTCTTCTCGAACGCTCCACCATGCGAAGCGGTGTCGTTTCTACCGTTGGTTACCTGTAAATGAGATGACAGTGGAGCTTGTCTAAATCTAATGCATAATACTTAAAAGACTGGAAACAGCTTAAGCCTACCGCTAGTAGATATTATCTGTTTTGGCTCGTTACGTATCGCCACCAACCTCACAGTTTTAAAACGCGTCTATTAGGGAGAGGTTTCCACACCATTATACTCTTATAAGGGATGCTTCGTTCCCCTCTCCAACTGATGTGAGATCTCACAATCCATCCACCCTTTGGGGGCTCAGCGTCCTCGCTAGCATATCGCTCGATGTCTGGCTCTAATACCGTTTGTAAACAGCCCAAGCCCATCGCTAGTAGATATTATCTACTTTGGCCCGTTACGTATCGTTGTCAGCCTCACAGTTTTAAAACGCGTATACTAGGGAGAGGTTTCCAAACCCTTATAAGGGATGCTTCATTTCCCTCTCCAACTGACGTGGAAACTCACAATGCATTTACAAATCTTGATATGTGGAACGTTTTCTAACCTCTTGAGATGTTTCCAAATGGTTTAGCTCTTCTAGTCTGCTCTCCAACTCTAGGATTCTATTGCAGAAGTCTTGTTCCTTTTGGAGAAATGAATTCTCTGATGTTTCCAAGGCGTTTTCATTTGATTTTATCTGTCTCTGCAAGACAATAAAGTTATTCATTAGACAAGTAACATCATCAGAGAATTCCGATCCGCTCGGAAGCTGACGTTACCTCGAGCGTTTTGATTTTCTCCCTCAAATTAGCAACTTCAGCAGGGCCATGAGAAGCTGAATTTAGTTTTGGTTTTGGAGCAGTTTTGTTTCCACCAATAGTTGCAGCCACACGTCCATTGTTATGCCTGAGCTTTTTCTCAGAACTGTTAGAGGCCTCCTCCTTCTTCAGCTCAGCTTTCAGCTGCAATATCTGCTTTCTAAGTTTCTCTTTCTCTATCTCATCCTCAGCCAAAGAATGCTTTAAGTCATTGCATTCAACTTTGAGCTTCTGAAACTCTGCCTGTAGAAGTTCTAGCAAACTCTCCTTTTCATCTTTCATGTTCCTCAGTTTCTCTAACTCATCCAGGAGTTTGTCGGATTCTTTCTTTGCCGATATAACCTTGCTCTCCAGCTCGTTTCTTTCGGTATTTCTTGTTTGGATTAGCATCTCGGCTTCTCTAGCTAACGTCGTCATTTGAGCTAAATCTACTCTCATAGTCTCTACCTGTCCAGCTTGTTCTTTAAGATTGCTATTCTCTCCTACGAGTCGGTCGATCTCGGATTTGAGCATTTGGATCTCCTGAGAGAACGATTCAGACTTCGTATCCTGGTGTTCGAGTTGTTTGGACTTAGTCTCGAGTTCTGATGTCATTTGTTCTAGCTGAGTTGAGTTGCTCTTGATTTGATGAGAAAGTTCATGCAATTTTTCTCTCACGGATCGTAGCTCTTCATTTGCTTTCTGGAGAGCTTCTTCCAAGTGAGTTCTCTGTGAGCGAAGCTCACTAGCTTCTGCTAGTGCTTTCATAGCCACATTCTCATTTGCCTCAAATGTAGAAGCCATCTGCTTAGACAGCCTTCCAAATTCCTCCTGAAGCTTTTCTGCAGTATGAGCATTTCTCAACCTCATTTTTCTTAAAGCTTCTTCCGCTCGGATAGCTCTTTGCTCTTGCTCGACCTTGGAAACCGTCATTGCCTCCAAGTCGGCTTCGAAATCTAGCCCCTGCTTCTCAAGTTCTTCCTCCAAACTTCTGACATGGGATTGAAGTTCCCTGATTGTAGCAGAAGTATTGGAATATTCAGCCGACTGCTGTTTAAGCTCGTTTTCGAGACCCTCAATCTTCTTTTCAAGCTCATTTATCATAGCAGCAGCGGAAGAGGAGCGCTCATGCTGTATCTTTAATTGCTCCTGAAGTTGACACTGCTCCAGTTTACAGGAAAGATCATGGTTTTCCTGTTTCAATATCTCATAATCAAGCGCAAGCTGCTCCGTTTGTATCGCTAGCTCGTCCTTATCTCTCATATGCAGCTCGATTTCATCGTAGAGTTCCATCACTTTTTGCTCCAGTTCATATACTTTTCTATCATTCTTTTGATCCTTCACAAGATCTTCAAGTGCTTTTAGCTCATCATCCTCTTCTTCAGCCTTCTTGGCCTCTGATATTTCACAGTTCTTCTGCTCCAGCATCTCCTCGAGATCTTGTACCGCTAAAATCAACTCAGTATTCGATTCTTGCGTTTTCTGTAGCTGTAACCGGAGATTGGCATTCAAGTCTTTCTCATAATTCAATTCTTGTCTCATTTCTTCTATCAGAGCCCGCAGATCCCCATGTTCAAACTGCAGTTTGTTTTTAACTTTTGCATCATCCATGTGCTTTTGAAAGCCCTTCAACTTCTCGCATTCTGCTCTCCATTCATCTCTCTCCGCTTTCAAGCTAGAAACCTCACTCATAAGATCATGGCTTCTCTTATTCTCTTTCGCAATCTGTTTACGAAGCGTCTGCAACTCCATATCCGACATGTCTGCTCGTCTGCTCAACACAGAAAGCTCATTCTTAAGTTCCTCATTCTCAATATCAGTTTCCTTTTTGGACCTTCCTCCTACAATGCCATTGACTCCCGAATCATCGGTTTGATCAGATTGAACCGACCACTTCCACGGGAATGCATGATTCTCTTCACGAGCAGGTGATTTGTGAGAATCTGGGGTGCGGCTTAATGGTGAAAGAAAGCCATTAGGTTGCTGATGGGTGTTGTTCCTAATCCCATTTCCTACTGGACTGTCAAGTCCAGAGCTACTCTCATAACTTGAAACTGTACTGTCTGATCCACTTGATGTTCTATGATCACCATTTCTTTCAGCTTCATCATTCAACCCATCCTGCAAAATGAAGAGAGGACAGATTTGATTCAAACATTCCATGAGTGTTCCCTGTTGAGGAGGGTGGGGGAGGCATGGACTAATTTAGGAAATGATCGTAAAGAAATGATTATGGGGTTAAAGTGAACAATATCATATCATTGTGGAGAGTCGTGATTCCAAACATGGTATCAGAGTCATGCCCTTAATTTAATCATGTCAATAGAATCCTCAAATGTCAAATAAAGAAGTTGTGAGTCTCGAAGGTGTAGTCAAAAGTGACTCAAGTGTCGAACAAAGGGTGCACTTTGTTCGATGACTCTAGAGGAGTCGAGCCTCAATTAAGGAGAGGCCGAGGGCTCCATAGGCCTCAGGGGAGACTCTATAGTGTACTTTGTTCGAGGAGAAGATTGTAGAGGATTGTTGGGAGGGAGTCCATGAGAGCTTAAGCTCAAAGTGGACAATATCATACTATTGTGGAGGGTCGTGATTCCTAACATTCCCTTCTAAATGTGCAACAGAAGTCAGAATAGATTATTTCATCCATTCGGGTCAAAGTTAAGCTGGAAAAGAAAAGTGAAAATACATTTTTTGCGTATTGAGGAAGCAATCCCACTTCAGTTTGACTGTTCTTGTTCATATCCTCATTGTTCAAGTAGC